AGGACCTCCAATCTGTGGTTGACTGGGGCAAAAAATGGATTATAAAGTTTAATGCCTCCAAAACGAAACTGCTCTCCTTTACCCACCCCGGAGAACCCTTCATACCTCGCATCAGAATGGCTGGTTTCCAACTCCTTGAGAGCGCCTCGTTACGCCTGCTTGATCTTACACTCTCCACTGACATGAGGTGGAATAAATACAATAAATCAATAGCTTCATTAACTCCAAAGAAAGCTGGTTTTCAGTGTTGTGCCAGGCGGTTTTTCTCGTCTGAGAAAATCCTTCAAATCTATAAATCAACCATCCGTCCTTGCATGGAATATTGTGTTTCATATATGGTCTGGTGTTCCAGACAAATTTCAGAGACGAATATGCAATATGATAGGTCCTGGTCTGGCATCTAGTCTTCAATCGCTATCTCATAGACGTTTCTTCCGCATGTATTTTCACGGCAACTGTTCCGATGTGCTACTTTCACTGGTTCCCGGACTACATGAACCAGGCTGGCATCTTGGTCTCATCCTTTCACTGTCAAAGTAGTTAAATGTAACAGTCTCTTCTTCTCAAGCAGCTTCTTCTCCCGCAATTCCCGTCTGTGGAAATTCCTTCCCCTTGCTTCCTTCCCCGATGACTATAATCTTTAAATATTCAAGTGTAATGCCAATCGACATCTGACATCCTGAGCTTGTTCTCCGTCCTTCTCTGTATCCTTTCCTCAAACACACCTCTTTACTCTTGTTCTCAGTCCTCTGTAGCCCCTTACATGCTAGTGGCAGTCCCTCCTTGCTTGGAGTGACAGGAATTCGAACCCGTTTCTTTGATTTGTTTTTTATGTGTACATACGTGCAAGGATTCTGAAGTATGGATGTACAAACCGATAAACCTATAATTAAAAGGTTAGGTGTTTTAAGGTTGTTACTCTTATAAACTTTACCTTCTGCGCCACTATACTTAACTATGAAACGACTGTCAATAAACAAGACATTTTATGCTATAGGTAAGTAATTTTTGTTTCAAATCAGATTAATTTAACTATACCTTTGCTAATTTTCCTCAAATAACGTTACAGAAATATATTTTTCATTTTTGTAAGATTTTTAAAACCGAGAATTAACTTTTGTTACAAAACTGTCAAAATGGCCGATTTTCATCGATTTTACTGAAAAAAATCAATTTTGATCAATATAATTTCTATTTGAAATACACCAGGGAGTATTTTGTTGTGTGGAAATAGTAAATATGAAAACCTTTAGCGTTTAATTAAAATTAAAATGAAAGCTTCCAGAAAGCTATTTCATTTAAAAGAAATTCATTTTAAAACTTATGGATACCGAAGTAGTAGTAGATATATATATATATATATATATATATATATATATATATATATATATATATATATATATATATATATATATATATATATATATATATATATATATTATAAATTGATTTATTTAAAATATGGTTTTTTCGCTACACAGTTCTAACCATGTTTCAAAAATGGAAGCTAAAATCTACGAATTTAATTTTGTCAATTTACATTGAGCACTATTTTGTAAAAATAAAAATATCTATAAGAACACCGGATTATATATCTTACTGTTCTTTCTTTTTATTTATACACACACACACACACACACACACACACACACACACACACACACACACACACACACACACATATTATATATATATATATATATATATATATATATATATATGAATGAGGTGTTTTACATGCGCTGATAATGCTTACGAAAGCGATAACGTCTGAAGTTGTGTGAAGAGAATTTTTAACGAGATACATGACAACACTGATTAAGAGTGAAAAGTAACAATATCAGTCGTACCTGTAGGGGGAAGATTGTAATAAATAGCACATAATGGTGTCTTGACAAGCTCGGCTGATTAGAAAATGTTACAATGTGATTCTACGTACAGCTAACCGCGAATATATTATTATTATTATTATTCTCGGGGAGGGTCAGGCTTAATCATTTGGGTCGGCAGAAGTGACAATGGGGGCAGGCGTTGGTCATTAGTCGAGGGATGATGACACGTAACGAACTCCGTGCAAGACAGCCTCATTTGCCTCTTCCTTTCTGTGATTTTTCATTTTCTTGTTTTTTTCTCAAATTATTATTATTATTATTATTATTATTATTATTATTATTATTATTATTACGAAATTGTGAAATCTTCACTTTAATATTGCCTCTTTTTCTTGTTAAGCAGCGTTGTCATTTTAGTCTACACATATATACACATAACATATACACACACACATATATATCATTCGGCATACATATGTGAGTATATTTAATAATAAAAAAACACCTGCAAAAAGAATAAAACACCTGCAAATGTATAGAGGCACATATATATATATATATATATATATATATATATATATATATATTTGTGTGTGTGTGTTGGGGGAAATGTATGAGAAATGTAGAAATGGACGAATAGGAGTAAAAGCAGAATTCTAGCACTTGAA